GATATAAAATTGATTGACTAGTCCCAATCAGGCAAAACTCAGTAAGTGCTCTCACCACTACCGGAATTTTACCAAAGCCACCATAGAGCCCTGAAAATCCACTCATATCTGCTTTATATTGCTGGGTATCCACATTTGCAGATGTGAATACAGATATCCATGGCTCATTTTTGCAGATGAATACAAATTTTTATCTTCATGAAAGGCTCTAACAATTGTTCTGCACAATATACATCTCTAGAATCTTTGTGTATAATAAAAAGTCAAATATTCCCATTTGATCAGTGGGAAAGATGCATTTGTCTGTAGGCATTGATGCTTACTCTCCTACACTTTAGTTGGGTTACTGAATTCTCATGTCACATGCTTTGGAAACATGAACACCATTCAGTCCATTAAGAAAGTCTGCCAGGTAATCACATTCTCTGGAACATTATAGTTTTACAGATAAGAAAACTGAGGCACAAAGACAACAGCAAGTCTGTGGAAGAGCTAGTAGAACTCTTGACTCCCAAGTTTGCACTTTAACCTAGCCAATATTTATTGTTAAACATGCTAGTATAATTTATTGAAGACCTACAGAAAGGCATGGAATAAGAAATTTATTTCATGTTCCACAGCAGGTTAGGAAGTAACCTTTGCTTTTTCAAACTGTATAGTTCTTACATCTTCACTAGAGCTGCTCTCTCTCTGTCTCCTGTTTTAGCTTGGAGATGTCTATGGTGTGTAAATGAAGTGACTGTTTGGGAGTAAAAAATCTTCCAAGAACAAATGAAAAGAATTTAATTAAAATTGGCATTTACAGTTTTTCTTTCACAAAGTAGGGAAACATATTTGGTTCATTTTCATAAATCAAGCCCAGTGTGGTGATCATCAGTTAAGTATTTCTGATGACTAAATCATTAGCCACATATGCAGCTGTAAATAACATAGCTCTGCCCCATCAATGTCATTCCCCTAATTTGCTAGATGTTTCTGTAACCTATTGTTTCCTTAGCATTTGTTGAGCCATTTAGAATTATATAAGGGGGATAGCTCTTGTAAACTGAGAGCGATGCAGGATTTCAAAATGCAGTAAAACTATATTATGCTTTTTTCTGTTGCTTGAAAAATATAGGTGTCCACAGGAAATTGGAAAGGATGCTTACAACTGGACATTTTTTAATGTTGTTATCCTGTGGTTTGGGGTTTTCTTCATTTTAAACATGAGATGGAAAAAAAGGATAATCTCTGCTCTTTAAAAGTTGTAGTGTATGGAAAAAACTAAAAGTTCACATAAAGTAGTTTGCTCAGATCTCTGCTTTGCTTTGGCTCCCTATTTGTAAATTCATACTTCCCCCTTAAGATTCAACAAAAATTAGATTTATTTTCTTCTGTCTACTTTGTTAGATACATATTCTTATTTGGGATAGGTTTCAACTACTAAAATTAACTATTTTTGGTTATTCTTGCTGCCATTACCATCTTACTCTTGCATTGCTTAAAAGATGTCCTACATTGTGAAAATCTACAATTTAGCTACAAAAATTGACTTGAGGAGTCTCTGAACTATAATGAGCAGTTAGCACCTAATACACTGTTGGCATCATGCTGAAATGGTCACTTCCTAATACTCATAAAAGGAAACTAGAATAATGTGAAACAGAAGGCATGACTTACTCTTAGGATGTATTTAGTTGTGTGTACAAGGTAGACGTATTTTCTTAAATTTTGAAAAAATGCTGAAAGGATCAGTAAAATTAATAACAGATTCCACTAGGCACTCCCATTTTAAGTGATCACTTAAAGTATTTCCTTATCCCCACGTTTGTATAGTACCTAACACAATGGAATCTCATGTTTCTCCGGGATCTTTGGATGATAACTTTTATTGGCCCCTATGTTGGCTTAAGGTAAATTTAATTTAAGAAACAGATCAAAATCAAATGCATTTGTCCCAATATTGATACCATCATCCTTGTCTTCTCCTTTTCCCCTCCTTCATTTTGTTCTTGTTGCATTTTGTCCCTATTTATTCCCAGTTTCTGCTGCTGTACCCAAAGTCAGTGAAGCTCCACAAGGACTTCCCTGTGCCTATTTGTACTGAGGCATTTGCAGATAAAGATCTTGGACTATAAGTTCCATGGGGCAGGAATTGTTTAAAGAGTATATTCAGTACCCAGGGTGGTGAAGCCTTGGTCTTAACTGGGGCCTCCAGGCACTAAGACTATGATATAAAAGTATAAGAAATACACTACATTTTGGTGAGTTTCATAGAACACGAGAACTCCAAGGGACCTCAAGAGATCATCAAGTCCAATCCCCTGCCCTCACAGCAGTATCAAACACCATCTAGAATGATCATCTCTGATAGTTGTCTGTCCAACCTGCTCTTAAATATCTCTCGTAATGGAGATTCCACAACTTCCCTAGGCAATTTATTCTAGTGTTTAACCACACTGGCAGTTGAGAAGTTTTTTCTAAAGTCCAACTTAAACCTCCCTTGTTGCAATTAAGCCCATGGCTTCTTGTCCTATCATCAGACACCAAGGAGAACAATTTTTCTCCCTTTTCCTTGTAACACCCTTTTGAAAAGGTTAAACATTTTATGATTTGTTAAAACCATATAGAATCTAGGTTCCTTCAGAGAATATCGAGTGTGTGCTGCCTGCATAAATGGCAGTGGTGATGGTAATGAGATGTTTTTTACATGTGATGACCCAGTGAAATTGAATCCACGTATAACAGGGAAATATTAATTTTGTAGCTTTGCCTGCTTATTGCAGAGGCTCTTTCCATATTGGGAAACCCTTCAGCTATCCTGAAACTACTGGGATACAGAAATGGATCAAAGAAAAGTCAATTTACTTATTTCATGCCAAATGGGAATTCATATAAGTAAACAGTATTTTGGATCAGTAATTTCATTAGTAATTGCATCATTGCTTGAGGTGAGAAATGGACTTCTGTTGAAAGCAGCAGAATGGATTGTTTGGGAGGCTACAAAACTAACATTACAAGATTTGATGCTTGGTCTACTCTACAGTTTATGTTGATAAAACTAATCCATGCTCCTGAACAACACAGTTACACTAATCTAATCATCCAGAGTAGATGGCACTATATGATGGGAGGGGCTTCTATCAACATAGCTATCACTCTTGGAGAGGTAAGCGCTCCCATTGGCATAGGTAGCGTCTTCAATAAGTGCTAAGTTGGTGCAGCTATGCCAGTGCAGTGCTGTAAGTATAAACAAGCCTTAAGTATTGTACTGAAAATACATTTTCTAGTTTTGGGCCTTTGAATATGCTAAGTTCTTTGGAAGTCACGTGTCCATCTCCAAAGTCCTGACATAGCTGGCATGGCTTTGAGATTTGAGGTATAACTTGTTACTGTAGCACAACATTTCTCAAATATAAAACAAAAACCAGTAATTTAAATAGTCAAAATCAGTTTAAATATTCAAATCATTAGAAGTACAATGTTATGATCTTCTGCATGACTAGGCAATTATTCACCCAAATAAAGGAATACTTTGCTTCTTTGAACTATGCCATAGGAGTGAACCCCCTTTGTTTCAAAAGTTTAGTTTTGTATTTCAAGAAGACTAAAATGTAGAGATTGTGCATTTATTACACTGCTCTCTGACACCTTCCTTCTTTAAAGTGGTACTGCTAATTTTTTTAAAAATTAAGCAATTAAAAAAAAACAAGTTTCAACAGAGCATTATTTTAATATATTCTAAAATCTTTAAAAAAAATCCTTTTAAAAACAGTTTCAATTTTGGTTTTGGATTATATAAGGATATTTTTAACAGAGTTGAAACTGAGGGCCCAAATATATAAACACCTGAATGATTCCATAAGAAGTCCCATGTAAGTCAAAAGTACGTAAGTAACTACTCATTTGTAAATGCTGGCAATATTGAATTTTAAGACCTATCTTGCAAGCTGTTTCAGCTCTCTTCCCTCCCAATGCCAACCCTCACAGTGTTCATTATTTTGCTCTGCATAGGGTTTCCCCAGGCAGATAAGCTTTTGTTAGATTGGGGCCTTAATGACTATAGGGGGAAAGGGTGACACTAACAGCACAGAATGCTGACAAATGCACAAAATAAACTGGGGGTGGGGGAGAATAATAGCCATTTTTGTTCTGTTAGTGTGAAACAAAAAGCTGTTACTTATAACTAATAGTAGGTATAAAATATTCAGTCCAATGTGATTTTTTTCCAGTTGATGGTGCAAAAGATTATCCAGTAACTGCTCATGATAATGATGTAGGAAGGTAAAAGAGGTGGTGCTTTATACAGAGCTAGAGGTAGATGACGATAGTTATATATGTGAAACTGGTATTAAATATGATGCAGTTGAAAGGCAGAGGAGGTAAAGGGTATTTACTTGTAGAGAGTATCTTAAAACTATTAAGTTTTTGGGGACCCGTGTTAGGAGAGTGGAGTTCGATTGTGTTTACTGTCTAAATGGGATCTGTTTGTCCATGAGAGAATGGGAGAACTGTGGAAGTATCCTTTGGTGCAGAGGACTGTTTGTGTGAGGAAGAGGTGTGTGCCGGGGTGTAAGGACCCGCATTTGTTTGTGTTGGGGGTAGGTGGGGCTGTCTGCAGGAATTGCGTGTGGGAAGTCCGGGATCCATTCTAGTGGGGGGAGAATGCCTGAACTGAGAGGAGGGCAAGTGTATAGATGCCCAACCCTCACATGGAAGGGAACTGAAGAGCGGCACGTACCTGTATGGGGGGGGAGGGAGATGGAGGGGCTGAGCGGTGGGATCTGGGTTACTTGCTGTATAAACGGAGTGGGGGTGAGCTCAGTGCTCCCCGCTTTGGGTGAGATGTTGGGTGGCATATCGCCTTCCCCCCTCGCCCAGTGGATTAACTATGGCCCGGGGAGGAGGAAGAGCAGCTGCCACCGACATTTCCCCTCTCCTGCCCCCTGGGGGCGGCTGATGGGTGCTTCCCTCCCCAATCGGGGCACCGGCAGGACTCGCTCTCTGCTGCTAGCGCTCACCTTGCCCGGCACCCCGCGGTGGTCTGTGCTGCCCTGCCAGAACCTCCGGCTGTAGCCCGTGATGTACCCGACCATCTTTTCCTCGTAGGGGAAATCCACCTTCCAGATGAGGGAGCCGTAGCCAAACACCCACATGGTTCTCGCCCTGCCCGCGTCCCGCCGGCCGGCAGCCGCCCCTGCCGGTCTCTGCTGCGCTTTCCCCGGAATAAGGGCAGAGCGGCCCCGGATTGCTGCGTGGCACGGCGCCGCCTGGCAAAGCACCATGGGGCTTGTAGTGCACGGGGCCCCTGGGCGCCTCTCCCGCCCGGTGTCCCGGCCCTGCCCCCGCCCGGCGGAAACTGCGGGCAGAGGCCAGGCCAGGCCACCGCATCCCGGCGGGGGCTGCGCTTTAATGCAGCCCCCTGCGCCCCTCTGGGTAGCGAGGCCGCCCCGCCCCTGCGCTCCTTTGGCGGGGTTGGCGAGGCCGGTGGAACGACGAAAACTGAAACCCTGATTTTTTGCGCCTCATTGCATTTTCCGCCATGCATGCATGAAATTCTGGGCTACGGCTCAGGACTTGCTACCTGGTACAGTACAGGGGTTGCTAATTCTGAGGGACGGGGTTCCGTTGTCCAAAACTCTCACAGTTTGCTCCCTCCTTGCTAATGGCCACAGCTGCTGTTTGTGTTTTGCCTTTTGGCTCTAACAGTAGACAGGATGGGGTCTTGTGGTCCAGGGGTTGTAAATTACAAGGGATGGCGTTCCCTGGTCGAAAACACTCACCATTCACTCCTTGTACCACATCTTCCCCCACCCACTACAGTTTGAGGCCGGGCTTCCCCATGCACTAACCTGCAGGTGGAGATGGAGGAGGGTTGGGCTTGGAGCAGAGAGGCAGGGGGGGGGATCCAGCTACCGGTGGCAGGCGGAGTAGGAGCACATGAGCTGAGGGATGACAGGGGGAGCAGAATGGGATTAAATTGGCGCCTCCCTAGCATGGTGCCCAGGGGCAACTGATCCCTCTAGGCCCCTTGCTACACCACTGCCTCCCCCCCGCAGATCTATCATCTTATGCATGTGCAAGATCTGTGAGAGCCATCCCATGCATCTGCAGTTAGTGTCTGTGGCGCCTGTTTCTGGGTGGTGTCTCAATGCTGCCACATTCACCTCCAAAGAAGGGGCTTCCCAAAGCAGGCTCTTGCTGCTGACCCCCAAGGCGTCCACAGGTCCAGTCTTCTTTCAATGGGCCCACTTCCCAGGGCTCATTGATCTTGGATCTGGCTTCCATCTCCTCTCCAACCTTTGCAACTGCCCAGAGGTGCTCACCTTCCGCCTTATCCATTCCCAACTCATTCACCCCACAGGGACAGTCTCTGCTTCACTTGTCCTAGGGACTATTCCACCAAGACATAATACAAAGTTTCCATGTAAAAGGACTCAATACAAAGCTAAAAACTTCAATGAGAGAATGATTAATACAGAGACATGTCTACATCTGCTGAAGGGAGACACCTCTGCCTGCCTCCAGCCCTCTCCCTTGGGCTGTGTCCAGACTCAGGGGTTTTTTCGAAAAAAGTAGCCTTTTTTCGAAAAAACTTCACCTGCGTCTAGACTGCAGCCGCGTTCTTTCGAAATTAAATCGAAAGAATGCGGCTTTTCTTTCGACGGTGGTAAACCTAATTCCACGAGGAAGAACGCCTTCTTTCGAAAGTGCTCTTTCGAAAGAAGGCGTTCTTGAAAGCAAACAGGCTTTTTAGAAAGAGAGCATCCAGACTCACTGGGTGCTTTCTTTCGAAAAAGCGGCTTGCTTTTTCGAAATTCCGCGTGCAGTCTAGACGCTCTCTTTCGAAAGAGCCTCTTTCGAAAGAGGCTTGCAGTCTAGACATAGCCCTAGAGTCTACAGCTCCATTGCAAAGCAGGGGAGGGGAAGGAAAGAGGTTGAGGCACATCCAATCAGACTGAAGCAGTCATGAGCAAGCCATGCCTGGGAGCCATTCTCCTGTCCGTTGTTGGTGCTTCAGGCATGCTGAAAAGCAGTCACTTCTAGGGTGGGCTGGACAGCTGTTTAACACCTGCAGTCCCAGGGCAGGCAGGGGGCAGTGCAGGCTGCCTTCCTGCAGGGCCCCCATCAGAACCACTGTGCCCTCCTGGCTTAGGAAAAGAATAAACAGGAGGACTGGAAATTAGCCCTCCCAGTCTCATATTCTGTAGGCAGGGAATGAGCCCCAGCTAGAGTATCGTGTCCTGTTCTGGGCGCCACATTTCAGGAAATGTGGAGAAACTGGAGGAAGTCCAGAGAAGATCAACACAAATGATGAAAGGTCTAGAGATATGAGGCAAGGCTGAAGGAAATGGCCTTGTTTACCTTGGAAAAGAGAAGACCGAAAAGGGACGTGAGATCAGCTTTAAAGTTTCTAAAAGAGTATCATGAGGAGGAGGAGGAAAAAATTGTTCTCCTTGGCCTCTGATGAGAAGCACTGGGCTTAAATTGCAGCAAGGAAGGTTTAGGTTGGACATTAGGAAAAACTTCCTGCATGTCAGGGTGGTTAAACTCTGGAGTAAATTGCCTAGGGAGATTGCGGAATCTCTATCACTGGAGATATTTAAGACCTAGTTAGACAGACACCTGTCAGGGATGAGCTACTCAACTTTGGAAGTCCCAGGGTCACACTGATACTTACAGAACATGCTGAGAGCCTCAACTAAAGTGTGGTTGAATATGCAAGCAAATATATATAAATAGCTTCTCTCACACGGACAGGCATGAATGCAAAGATTAAGGCAAGACTTCACAACACACAGGCCCCATTTAAGTCAGTTCTGCTGATATTAATAAAATTCAACATTTCCCTGATTTCTACCCATGTGACAGCACTTTTCATGAGCAATGACACTCCAAGAATTTAACTACTAAAACGCATCTCAGCAGAAGATCATTTCACTGACTACTTTTTTGGTTTTGGCTCCCACTCGCTAGCCACGTGTTGATCCCCACAGAAACCCAAACTGCACCGCAGGGCACAAACAAACTGGCCGTGGACAGTGACCCACGGGCCATTTATTGAGCAGCCGTGGGTGCTTGGTCCTGCTGTGAAGGCATGGGACTGGACTTTATGACCTCTTGAGGTCCCTTCCAGCTCTAGTGTTCTGTTATTTTATACTTCCCACATGGGGTTAGATGGGGGCTGGTGCCCCCTAGAAGGGACGGATCTCCAGAGCCCATCCATACCTCCGTGAGCCAGCCTGTGACCTCTGCCCCGGGACTGAACCGGAGCCAGTGCTCCCTAGAGAGGCCCTGTAGCCTCCTGAGTACTAGTGAAATTTTGGCGCTAGAGCCCTCCCTCAAGTGGATCCCTTGCACTGGGGGTCAGGTCAGGTCCTGTTTACTCCCACACTGTGGGATGCCAGGGGTGGTGCCTCTAGGCCAGTGTTGCAGTGCGAGGGGAGTGAATTGGCTAGTTCCAAAGCATTCCCCCCACAGGCCTCAGCAAGCCTGGGGGCAGGGCTGAGCGGATGAGAGAAGTGGGGGTAGGAGGTGGCTGCCAGGTCTCAGACTCTGCCCTTCGCTGCTGTTAGTTGGGCTGCACCGCGGCCCGGCAGGCAGCTCCCAGGATTGTCTCTTTCGAACAGTGGTGGCTTGATCGCAGATGAGCTAGACAAGGCATGGTTGCTGAACCCCCCCCACCCTGCGGTTGTTCCCGACATTAATCAGATTGCAGCGAGCCGGGTTATGCTGCTCTGTGCTGCACTCACATCTTTGCTACCCATGTAGACAGCCCCTGAACCACTGGAAACTGAGCTTCTAGTCCAGCCTGGTGTGTGACCTCAGGCATGTCGCAGCCCCCACTGTGCCTCAGTTTCCCCAGCTGTAAAATGGGAACAGTGTTGGCCTCCTTGGGAAAGCCCTCTGAGTATTACCAATGGGCTGGCAAGGACAAGTCTTGCTTTGGTCACGTGCAAAGCTCTTCTCGCTTCCCCACCAGCCAAGCCATCACTTTACTCTGGGTCTTTAACATGTGCTGTCCCTTGCCTTGGGTGGGCACTGCACTGGTGCGTGTGGAGTTGGGGGGCACAAGCACCCAGACCTGTGATCTCCCACCCTGCTGTTCTTGCCCCAAGGCCCCCCACACACTGCCCACCCACTAAAAATGCTCCTGAGCTACCTCTTCCTCTCAAGATCCACCCCCCACTTGTGCTCTCCCCCTGCCATTGCCTGCCCTGATATGCCTCTGACCCCCCACCCCCTGCTCCATGCCCTTGGCCCTTGCCTGCCTGACCAGGGGCTGCCGCTGGAGACTGGCAGGGGTTTTTCACCCACACACTGTCCCGTTTTCCCCCAAAATGCCCCTGAGCTACCTCTTCCTCCCAAGACCCACCCCCTACTTGTGCTCTCCGCCTGTCTTTGCCTGCCCTTACATGCCTCTGGCCCCCCACCCCCTGCTCCATGCCCCTTGGCCCTGGCCTGCCCAAACGGGATGCCGCTGGAGACTGGCAGGTTTTCTACCAGCTGATGCCTGAGCCAGGCACCCCCAGCACCTCCCACAACCAAATCCCCCTCCCTCAGAGACAAGAAGCCCTCCACTAAATCGCCCTCCTTCAGAGCTAAGCAACCCAGCACCCCTCCCCCCGACCAAATCCCCCTTTGCTATGCTTCTTCTGCAGAGGTATTAACAGAGCATTGAACATGAAATGATCTTTAACAATATGTTCTCACTACTTATATTAAAGAAATCCATTCCACCTTAGTTAGTAGAGAGAACTCTGATTGATAGGGTTGCCAGGTGTCCGGTATTTTACTGAACAGGTGGGTTTTTGGGCCCTCTGTCCGGTAAAAATATCCGGAAAATACCAGACATGTGCAATGCTGGCCAGGGGAAGGAAGCCTGGTGGGAGTTAGGGGAGTGGCAGGGAGACGGGGCGCGATTGACCCTGCGAGCCTCTGGTTGAGTCTGACTCTGAGAGCCTCTGGTTGAGTCTGACGCCTTGGGGAGGAGGAGAAGCCCTGTCCTTGCTTCTCAGCGTGTTGTGGAGCCGCAGCCGGACTCACTCATGCTTCACCAGGACTATGTGCGGGACTGACAGCACCCCAGGATCTGCATGTGCCCGGGTCAGTCTCCCCACCGTCTTACCCCAACCCTTCCCGACCAGCTCCGCTGCCCCCAACCCTCTCCCGGCCACCACTACTTCCTGCTGGCCAGTTCTCCTCCTCCTGATCTCCTCCAGCCAGCCGTGCTGCTCCTGCCCCCACCCCGGGACCGTTGCGCTGCCCTGCCCCCCCCCCCAAGCAGTTCCGTTCTCTCTCCACCCCTACTTTCTACTGACCAGTTTTTCCTCCTCCTGATCTCCTCCAGCCAGCCGTGCTGCTCCTGCCCCCACCCCGGGACAGTTGCGCTGCCCTGCCCCCCCCCCCAAGTGTGTCCGGTATTTTTTCTAAACCTACCTGGTAAGCCTATTGACCAATAAGAATCTGGTGTTGCAGGCCCCCATAGTGCAATCTATATTTGCTTCTCCATTGTCAGTATAGCATTTATTTTGGTGAGTTCTGCACACAGATGCAGGAATGTGGACTTGAGCATCCGAAAGTTTTGCAGCCACTGCTCATCAGCCCAAATCTCCATTGTTGCAAAAGATTTTTGCTTTTGGGAAGGATGTGAGATGACACAATATAATACACATAGGCTATGTCTACACTGGCGGGTTATTGTGCAAGTACGGCCATTCTTGCACAAGAATCCACAGAGCGTCTACACTGCCCATCCGCTCTTGTGCAAGTAAATTTACAGTATGGCATAGTAAGAGAGAGCATCTTGCGCAAGAGCTACGCTCTTTTTTATCAGGTGTAAGCCCTCTTGCACAGGAGCTCCTGCACAAGAGGGCAGTGTGGACGCTTGGCAGAGATTTCTTGCGCAAGAGAGCCCTATCGCTAAAATGGCCATCAGAGTTTTCTTGTGTAAGAGAGCATCCACACTGCCATGGGAGCTCTTGTGCAAAATCACAGCGCGCACATGGCAGTGTGGATGTTTTCTCGCGCAAGACTTCTTGCACAAGAAGCCACCAGTGTAGACATAGCCATAGTGAATATTTGTGAGTCAACGTCTACAAAAAAGCAATGACTGTGGACATGAGACACTAGGGGCTGGATTCACAGCCAAGATAAATGCAGCAAAAGGTAATCCTCATTGCTGGATCAAATGCAAAGTAACTGTTGAAAACAGGACAGGAAATCAGTTATACTGGAAGTCACATGACCCAACAAAATAAACTTGTGCTATTAAAAGAAAAAGAAAAAAGGTAGAATTAAAAACTCCTAATTACAAATCAAAGTACAAAAATCATAGCAAGTGCTATAATAGAAACACAGAGGGAATTCCTAAAACCAATAACAACTATTTACTTAAACTTTTTGGATGAGCATTAGCTATTAAAATAAAAAATAAACAGCACATTCATTGCAAAGTGATAATACAGATTAAATGACAACGTGTTCAGAGTAATAGAAATAACATTTTTAAAGTTGCAAAACTATAATTAAAATAGTTTACAAGAAGAGAGTGCAATTCAGGGAATCACATCAGCAGATAAAAAACAAATTGGGAACCGTTATGAGACTTCACGTAGACATATATTGAGTGATAAGACACTCTTTAAAATTTTCAGAATGTGACACACAGAGTTTGAGGGAATGTAGGTAAATTATTTCACTGCACCAAGTCTCCTGTAGCAGTAAAGTAGCACCAGGGACAGAAGAGAGGGGGTTTGGCGTCACTACCGGGTTTACAATGGTGCCAATGGCACTGTGGCACCAGTTCCACCCACATAGCTGGGTCTGGCCCCTCGCCTCTTGTCAGGGCTGGCTATTGTGGATGGGGGGTCCAGGTGTGGGAGAGTAGGTCTCTAGAGGGCCTGGGGGGGGAGGGGGGTGCTGGGCAGTGAGAGGGTGGGAAGTGCTCGGCAGTGGGGAAGGATTGTTTGTTTTGTGATGCTGGAGAGTAGGGGTTTTTTCGGGGCACTGGGCAGTGGGGAGATGTGTGTATCAGGGCGCTTTACTGGAGGCGCCGCTCCCGGGCCTCCGGGGGAGGTTCCGGGGCGGTTGCACACCCACAGGGGGCTAGGGGTCGACGTCGTCGCCCCAGGATGGATAACCAGCGGGGATAACCATCAGGGCAAGCCCCAATTTTGACACCCTTTTCGAGAGTCCCATACCGGTCTCCCGCCCTGGCCCCCCGTTTGGAGCCAGGCTATCCCTTTTTGCCTGTGCATGGGCTCTAATTACATCGGATGCCTGGGTTCTGAACATAATAAATGGAGGCTATACTGTCCCATTCCTGGGCCCAACCGCCTTCAAAACCCCCTTCTCCGTCTTTAGTGAGGGATACCCCTCACAAACATTGCAGATCTTACAGGCATATGTAAGATGGCCCTCACCCAGACACTTCAGACAATTGTCGTGAGGGTCTCCTTTGGGCATGAACTTAGCGCAGACAGCACACGCCTTAAAGCCGTGCGACCCTAGCATTCCTCACCACCGAAGGGGGAGAACGAAAAACGAGACAGTAACTATCTAACTAACTGAACTATTTAGCACGATCTACAAAAAAAACTAAGAGAAAAACAGGAACCATTAACTGATCTAAGAAAGACACGCCCCAACAACCGTCACGGGCGGTAAGAAGGAACTGAGGTGGGGGAGTGCCGGCAGGGGTACTTATGCCCCGCCATAGCGGTGCCACTCCAGGGGGCGCCCTGCCGGCGCTACGGGTACCGCTAGGGAAAACGCTCTGGAAGACACGGGGCACGCGGTGCGCACACCTACTTCGAATGGACATGAGTAACACATCTCGAAGAACAACAGTTACAGGTAAGTAACTGTTCTTTTCTCAAGCAATATATTTCTACTCCTCCCTAGTCATCTGTCCAAGTTTCCACTTCTTGTGAGCTTCCTCTTTATGTTTAAAAAAACACAGAAACTTTGGCCGGTTTCCTGTCAATAGGAACTGCCTGTTCTCAACCGGCAGCTTGTGAACCACCAACTCCTTCCCTCAAGCTTCGGTAGCTGTTTAAAAACCACATGGCCCCTTCTGCTTGAGAAGGCTGCTGGCTGGGAAGCAGTAAGTCTCCCAGCCAGAGCCTGCCTCTTGCATGCCAACCCCTCTGCCCCCCATCCCACATAACCCGAATCCTCTGCCCCCATATCCCCTCCCAGATCCTGCACCCTAATCTGCTGCTCCAGATCACAGCCCAAACCACTCCACCCCCTTCTGCACCGTAGTCCCCTTCCCCAGGTCACAACCCAAACCCCTGCACCCCAGTCCCCTAACCCAGGTCACAACTACTTCCTTCACCCAAATACCCTCCCAGACCCTCTCCTTCACCCCAGTCCCTTTATTGTAAGGTCCCTTCTGTACCCAACCTCCATCCCAGACCCAGCACCTCTTCCATTAATATGGAAGAGTGTAGCCCTTGACCACTCTCCAAATTCTTGGAGTGGCCCCTCTGTCAAAAATTATTGCCCATCCCTGCTCCAGAGTGTCTGAGATACACTTGTCAGATGTTCTGGAGTCTGGTCAGAATTTGACATTATTTAGAAATGTAAATAACATTTAGTGTGAATGTACTTATTTAAATCAACAATGCAATTTAGCGGTTAGGTCATCAGAGCAATCTGGAATAATGTCTCAGTTTTGATGCTGACTCATCATGATGTTGTGTACATTAGGGAAACTTTGCAAAAATATCCCCCTCTTGCTCACTCCAATTCTGTTCCATTGTTGTTAGCAACATTGGAAAGCATAATGTAGACAAGTTGCTGGATGCAGCTGATGTGTTAGGGGTTTTCCCCACAAATGGGTTTATTTCAGACTAACTTGGCATTTTTTCAAATTAAAATGGACTGCATGAACTGGGGAAAGAGGTTGCATGGGGGGTGGTTCAGGGCAAGGGGTGGGTGGTGAGGGAGTTAGGGTAGGGGGTTGGAAGGTGTGGGAGGACTCAAGGGAGGGAGTGGGAGTGCAGGAGTTAGGGTAGTGGATTGGAAACTCAGAGTGAGGGAGGAGTGCAGAATTCAGGGCAGAGGGCTGCGAGGTGTGGGGTGGAGTGCTCAGGGGAGGGAGTTCTGGGGCAATTATAGCAGGAGGAGGGAGTGTAAGAGTCAGGGCAGGGGGCTCATGGCATGGAGTGGGGGTTCAGGAGTTAGGGCAGGGGCTGGGAGGGGTGGGGGGTTCAGGTTGGTGCATGGTACAATAGTTAGGGTGTGGGGCAGGGGATGGGGTTGCAGGAGTCAGGGTAAGAGCCTGGTTTTGCAGGGAGCTCAGGGCAAGGGATTGTGTGTGTTGGGTCAGTGCTGCAGTGCTTAGCCCCGGCATCTCCTTGAGGCCCTGGAGGTGTGGTGATGGGAGGGTATGGATTGGTTTCTAGCATTGGAATCTTTTTCAGGAAGTCTGGGTCTGCAGTTCCTGGGGTGGTCTTTGGGTGGAGGCTGGGCCAGGCTGTGGCTTATGGGGTGGGCCCCCCAACTCCATGTAGCAGGCTGCAGATCTCAGCTCCCTGTAGTGTCTGCTCAGGAGAGGCAGTTTCAGGCTCCCCCAGCAACTGCTGCGGGTGTTCGGAGGTTGGGCCGCGCCATCTATATTGGCCAAACTGGATAGTCTCTATGACAAAGGATAAATGGACACAAATTGGACATCAGAAATGGTAAACCTGCATAAACCTGTAGGGGAACATTTTAACCTGCCTGAACACTCATTAATTAATTTGAAATTAGCCATTCTTCTACAAAGGAAGTTCACTAGACATTTTACAGAGAGTGGGGAATTAACATTAATCTGCAAATTTGACACTGTTTCCCTTGGCGCGAACAAAGACGTTAAGTGGCTGTCACATTATAAAGCTAGCCTTCTCTGCATTTAACACCTCATTTTTACATCAAAAGCTTAGTATGGGACACTTCCAGCCCACTTAATTACCCTCATTAGCACTGGTCCTTCAATTGACAGGTACTTTTTCCCCTTTCTTTTTCTGTTCTAAATTTTCAGTTTCTGTTATTCCTCTCCAGCTCATCTGATGTGGGTCTTGCCCACAAAAGCTCATGATATTATATATATTTTTGATAGTCTGTAAGGCAGTGGTCTCCAACCTTTTTACACCCAAGATCACTTTTTAAATGACAGACCAAGCCAAGATCTACCGCCCCGCCCCTTCCTTGAAGCCCCGCCCTCTCTATTCTCCTCCTCTCCATCACTTGCTATCCCCAATCCTTATACTGCTAAATTCCCACCATTCCTCGCAGCTACTCCTCAAATGAGGAAATCTAATGTAAATGTACTGCACAGGTGCGCAGTTCAGAGAGGGCTCAAGAGCTACTCTTAGAGCCTCCGAGATCTACCGGTAGATCGCGATCTACTGGTTGGTGACCGCAGCTCTAAGGACTAATCATTGTTTTCCATGGCATATAGTAGAACAGTTCTTTCCTTTAATTCAAATGTCGTGTAAGGGCTCGTCTAGACTACGCTGAAGTTTCGAAAGCAGGGCTTCCGAAAGTGCAAGTAGTCGTGATGTGGTTTTTTTTCCGGCAACTGCACCCTTTTTTTGAAAAGCTCTTCTTCCTCAAAAAATGTTTATGCAGCTTTTCGAAAAAAAGGGGGGGCAGGCTTGCCGAGGAGAGCAGAAGAAGATATGCAAATTCCGTAGGAATTTGCATATCCTCTTTCAAAATTTCAGCGTAGTCTAGATGAGCCCTAAAGGGCTTTACATCCCAGGGGATTAGAAGATAAATTTGGTCTCCAAGGGTATGTCTACACGAAAAGTAACAGTTAATTCGAACTAAGGATTTAGTTTGAATTAACGTTTCACTGCCACTTGTAGCCGCGTGGCAGTGAGTTCGGGCTAGTGAAATTTCAAAATGGCAACCGGATGGGAACATGCACATAAAGCCCGGGATATTTAAATCCCGGGCTTCATTTGCAACTCCGGTCGCCTCATTTGCCTACCTAACTCGAATTAACGAGCTAGTGTAGACATACCCCAAGAATGGTGTAGAATTAGAATACTATTTAGGTCCATAGAGATCCTGCCGCAACTTATTCCCAATAACAGAAGTGAGTTTTGAAAGATTCCATTATCATTGACCTTTCCAGATGAGGGATGTTGAATGGCATTTAATCAGCTAATCAACTCATGGAATTTCCACCAGGCTCTTAATACATTTAAAAGGCTGAAGTGCAGCTGGGGAGACCGGGCGTGAGCCGGGAATCAGCTGTCCTGGCTTGCGCCTGGTCCCCCCTGCTGCGCTTGTAATTTTAAAATGTATTAAGAGCTGCCCGCTCCCCTTAGCACTGTCTGCTTCCCCCCCCCCCCCCCCCCCCCCCCCCTCTCTCTAATAGAGACAGCAAGGGGAGAGGGAAGCAATTAGTTGAGTCACTAGTCAACTAGTTGCTTACATCTGTATTCCAGACCACCCCACATTAAGAGTGTTGAACCTGCCATAGTAATCAAAGAGAACCTGCACCATAGAGAAGTACTCAATATATTTAATGAAGTTTCAGCTGTGGTGGGAAGACACACCAATGTGAGGTATCAAGGCGTACGCTATTAATGTACTTCAGTGATCCAGTGGTCCAGCAGAAAGCAACCAAAATGATTAGGAGGCTGGAGCACATGACCTGTGAGGAGAGGCTGAGGGTTTTGGGCTTATTTAGTCTGCAAAAGAGAAGAGTGAGGGGGGATTTGATAGCAGTCTTCAGCTTCCTGAAGGGAGGTTCCAAAGAGGAAGGAAAGAGGCTGTTCACAGTAGTTACAGATGGCAGAACAAGGAGCAATGGTCTCAAGTTACAGTGGGGGAGGTCTAGGTTGGATATTAGGAAAAACTATTTCACTAGGAGGGTGGTGAAGCACTGGAATGGGTTTCCTAAGGAGGTGGTGGAATCTCCATCCCTAGAGGTTTTTAAGTTTCAGCTTGATAAAGCCCTGGCTGGGTTGATTTAGTTGGGATTGGTCCTGCTTTGGGCAGGGGGCTGAACTCCATGACCTCCTGAGGTCTCTTCCAGCCCCATCATTCTGTGATGCCAGCTTCTTCCACATTTGGTGTTTTCTTCTGTTATGTGCCCTTCTGTGCAATCTTCCATGTTCCCTTTTAAACCTGTTCTCAAAATGTATTTGCTATGTCACCTCCTTGTCCACATTGTTATTAAAAATGTAATTCTTGATAAGTTGCCTACAAGAAGAAAATTAATATAACTGACAAACAAGCAATCTAATTGAATGGAATCACTAAGTTGTACAATTATGTTTCCCAAGTAATCTCATGATCATCTTACTGTAACTCCTGTCTCTCTGAAGTACTTTTTACCCTTACTGCTGTAATAACACAAAGGAAGTACTTTTTACCCTTACTGCTGTAATAACACAAAGGTATTTGCGACGAGGAGTCCTGTGGCACCTTATAGACTAACTGAGGTGTAGGAGCATAAGCTTTCGTGGGCAAAGACCCACTTCGTCAGATGCATATCATGCATCTGACGAAGTGGGTCTTTGCCCACGAAAGCTTATGCTCCTACACCTCAGTTAGTCTATAAGGTGCCACAGGACTCCTCGTCGCTTTTGCAGATTCAGACTAACACGGCTACCCCTCTGATACAAAGGTATTTGAGGCATTGCTCTGCTCAGCATTGGAAAGCTAAGTCATTTAGAAAGCTAAGTCTCCATGACTTAGTCACTTTTTGAAATAGGACTTAGCTGTTTAAGTCACCTTAAATTTTGCAGTGACGAGCTGAGAAGTGCCTTAACTACTTTTTAAAGATCTGGGCATCTCAGTCTATAATCATCTTTGTGATACTCCTCTGAGCAGAGAAGTATGATATTGCACCGAGACTGAGGCCTGGTTTATGTTAATGAGGGAAATTGATCTAAGTTACGCTAGTTATGTAACTTAAATCAACATTGCTTAGATTGATTTACGGAGGTATTTACACTCTATGTTGACAGGAGAGGCTCTCATATTAACATAGCTTCTGCTTTTTGGGAAAGTGGAGTACTGAAGTCCATGAGAGAACATTTGCCCATCAGTTTACCATGTCTTCACCAAATAGGCTAAATTGATGGTCAATGCATTAATCACAGCAGCTTGATTTAGCCCCCAGTGAAGATAAGCTATAAATGATTTGCTCTAGGTCACATGGAAGGTCGTGACAGGGAAGGGAATTGAAAGTTGATTTTTGAAGTCTTAGTCTAGCTCTCTAACCATTTGACAGTCTTGAATCAGTGCGGTAGCCATGTTAGTCTGCATCTTCATAAACGATGAGAAGTCTTGTGGCACCTTATAGACTAATAGATTTATTGGAGCATAAGCTTTCATGGGCAAAGATCCACTTCATCAGATGCATGCAGTCTTGACAGTCTTGCTTTACCCACACTTATTTTCTGTTTATCATCTTTTTCATGTTTTTATATTTACCTTGATTCTGCAATCAGATTCATGGAGAACCTGTCTGAAACATGTAGGGTGACACATGGGTGGAATAATCTGTCCGTGCACCTCTAATTACAGGATCAGGCCAATAATTTGTAAATTCTTTTTGGCCCAAGATTGTGTCTTGTTAATATGATGTATGTCTGGAGCGTTCAAAAATTTTTAAATTTTTGTAAAGCATTTGAGAAAAGGTATCTTTCGTTCAAGAGTAAGTGCAAAGTATATATCACCCAAGACAGCCAAATTTCAAAATAATTTGAAGGAAGACTTTAAATGTGACTGAAATACAAATCAAATCAAGCAGGATGGCAGTATTGTCAATACTACCTAAAATTAACCCCAAGAAAGGAAGTATCCATAAAATGAATAAAACTGGGCAGGACTGACAATCTTGGCTTGGATTTTAAGAATATGTTGTTTGTTGTAATTGTAGACTTGCTGGACTAATGTGAGCGGTAGAAGGATGGATTTCACAGAGGCCTATTCTGATAGATGCTCGAGTGTTGGACTTGCAGCTAGAGAAGGAAATGTCAAAAGTCTGAGGAAACTGATTAAACAGGGATACAGCATTGATGTTCCTGATAACAGAGGCTGGATGCCAATCCATGAAGCAGCATTTCACAACTCCAGTGAATGTCTGAAGCTGTTAATTAATGCAGGTAAGGAAACTTGATTTAAGATGAAGCAAGATATTTTCATTTTCTCTGCTCACTTCCCCATAAATAGAACATACCATAAGATAAATCAACCTCATTCACTTTTTGATTTTTTTTGGTGAATTTTAATGTGTGATTTTTTGTGTGTGAATTTTAATATAAATAACTATATATGATCGGGATGTAAAAGGATAGTTGATTATTTGAGTCACATTTCCTTCCCCCCGGCTGCCTCTATATCAGAGGCAACAAGTGGGGAAAGCAGGAGCCGGCTTAAAAGCTGTTTCTCCCCAGCATAAAAGGGGGGGGGGGGGACCAGGGGAGGCAGAGGAGCAGCAATGCTGCGGCTCTGCCTTTTAAATGTAGTAAGAGCCAAGAGCAGAGGTGCACTGTGGGACCCAGTGTGAGTCAGAAATGATGCAGTCCAAGCTTATGCCAGGTCTGGGTGGCTCTTACTACATTTAAAAGGCAGAACTGTGGCAGTTCAGACCCGGTGTGAACCGGGACTGTTTCAGTCCCAGCTTCTGCTGGGTCTCTGGACCTACCCCTCCTGCACCTCTGCAATTTAAATGTAGTAGGAGCTGGGTTTTTCTCTGGTGTCTTTTAAGCTACATAGGCGGTAGTGTGGAAGTGGCCGGGGGGAGGTGGCTCCGCAGTATGTGGGGTGGGTATGAGGGGAGGTGGCTTCCCACGAACTGATGCTTGCAACTGCAGTGACTATAAAACATCACACTAAGTTCTTAACAAAAGTTGTCTCAGATGAATCATTTAATTTAAATGACAATTTTCCTGGTAGTCTTTTGCCAGCCTCTCTTGAGCCAAGGAGAAGCCGAACCCTTAATGCCAGGTTGTTTGTAGCATTTGCAGATAGGATGAAAAGTCAGACAGTAGACATTCAAAAATTGTCTGGATCAGTGTTTCCCAATCTTTATGATACCTGGGACCAGCTTTATAAATTGTGCCAAAGAGATCTTAGGCACTGATGCCTAGTACAGACTGATTTTTGAAAAAACTTTGGTCTAGATCAGCATGGCAATGTTTGCCTCAGACTTTCTAGAGGGATAAGATGAGCCATCCCATTAGGCTATTGGGTGTAATGCCACTTGCCCAAATTCAACATGGTTCCCATTCTATCTGATGGTAGGTAACCAAGAATGAAGTTTCAGGAGAGTGCAGGGAGGGAGTAGCAGCAGCCATGTGCTCCGGGATGCGGCTTCCTTTTCATCCCATTCCCTGGACTATGAGGGAATGAGGAGAAAGTACTTGAATGCCTCTAAAACCTGACTGGTGAAGGGAGCTCACCAGCCAGGTATCAGAGGCACACACGGCATGCAAGTACTTTCCCCTCACTTCCTCATAATCTGGGGAAAGGGATGAAGAGGAAGCTGCATCCTGGAGCGCACAGCTGCTGCCCCCTCTACTAGGGATGTTAAATATCGGCTAATTGTATAGTTGATGCATTTTGCATTGACTATTTGATTAGTCGATAGGGTGATTCCGGCTTTGAAGTGCAGCATCAGCCCTAGGACTGTTGCTACGCTTCAAAAGTGAAAGCCCGGCATGGAGCCTGGAATCAGCTGAGGACTCCAGCTGATCCTGGGCTCCACATGATGCTGCCACTTTGAAATGCTGCAGGGAGCCTGGCGTCAGGGAACCCGGGGTCGTCGTGGGCTCCCTTGCTGATCCCGGGCTCTATGTGACGCTGCCGCTTTGAAACACTTTGAAACACCCCAGCTGGCCTTAGACTGAATGTGGCATTTCAAAACTGCAGCGCCGTGTGGCGCCGGGGGTCTGGTCCCAGGCTTCAAGTGATACTGCCACTTTGAAGTACCCCTTCCGCTTCCCCCTCCCATGCTGCCTCTTTCTGATAGACTATATTAAATTGTGCTGAGGTATAGGTAGTTTAGATCCACCCAGGCTTGTTAGAATCCATTCCATCGAGGTGCAGGCAGCTTCAATGAAAAGCATCACTATCTCTATTTTCAGGGCAGCTATATGGAATGTATTTTTCAGCTGAAACTGTTCCTCAGTTGAGACCTCAAAAATCTGATGCCTGCCTTGGCAAAGCTGTCCTTTAATCATTATTGAAGTATTACTTCTAATACCATCCTCCTGACTGAAGCCACTTCTTGCTAGTCATCAGAATTTGAATCCATGTGGACAATCATTCAAAAAGCAATTAATTACCTTACAATAACAGTGTCTCTAGAGATGTATTGTCTGCATTGATTCTACAACCTGCCCTTGTTCTCTGTTACCATGGAGTCTTATAGCATCTGGATTATGTCTTGGTGAAGGAACTAAGGGATGGTTGAGCCTGCTATGCCCTTTGTGCCTTTGGGGGAGGGCTATGAGGGGATCCAAGGCACAGAAATCAGTTCCTGTAAGGTAAGTGACTATTATTTTTTGACTTTTATATTAGAAATCATCATTGACATCAACATGTTCCCACTACGCCTCTGGAATTTAGGCGGTGACAAATTTCCTCCACTCCTTTGAAAAGGAGCCCTATTTCTTATATTTTCAGGGCAGCTATGTGGGATACTCTTTACATTTTTAGTTAAAATTATTCCTCAGTTGAGACTTCTAAAATATTTCAGTGATTTCCCCAGCTGTACTCCAGGTTTTTCAGTTCAGCTTTCAGAGCTTTTTGCCATAGTATTTTTGGGTGATCTCGTTTTCAGGTGTCCATCTTACTGCTATTCTGGTGATGGAATCAGTTTCCATACAAAGCACATGGCACATCCATCTCCGACACCTCCTATAAATAATGATGATATTCATATAATCTTAGATGGATTGTGTGAATTGATCCCATTTGTGATAGTTCTAGAACAAAAGATATGGAGGGCTTTTCTGAGGCAGGTTATGGGATGAAGACAGTTTGGACATATCATGCTTTATCATTCTCCAGCATTCTGCATCATAACATAGTGTTGAAAAAGCTCTGATAAATCTTGAGTTTGGTTTTTATGTTGTATTTTGATGCTTTCCGAACTCGTGTTAATAAAATCTTCTTTAATTCTTATTTTTAGCTCCATCTGATAACTACACAAAATCCAAGACATTTGCAGGTACATGTGCATTACATCTTTCTGCAAATCATGGATGTTTGGAAAGCGTCAAAGTTCTCTTGGAGGCAGGAGCTGAGACCAATGAGGTTACTTATGAAGAAACTACTCCACTATTCTTAGGTGAGTGTGTGTGTGTATTTTTAAAAATTAGACCATGTTGGATACCTACAAAATTACCCCACAATTTCTTCATTATCCAGCAAGTTTCATATTCTTTTGTGGTCTGTGCAGTGACATGTTTTTGGAATCTGAGATGGAGACATAGCTGAAAACTTCTTTAATTTTTCTCCTTTTCTGTCTCAATGCATCTGCTTCAAACAATATATTTAAAGGAGACCACCAAATTGAAAAACATATTTTATGCTTTTTTGTTTGTTTGAAAAATAAACAAGGACTGAAAGTTTTGACCTTAAATTTGTCCTTTTTGTTTTGTTTTATTCCTGCCTACTCTTACATTAGAAATTCAAGTCTACTCACGCTTATTCCTAGAAGGCTTATGCATATTTGTTTATACTATTAGCTTGCTGGTATTTTTGATCTATGCTAGGGGGTTGTTAGAAAAAATTTCCTGTTTTTAAATTGCTAACTTCCGTGCACCTCCAAGTCAAAATTCTTGCAGCTTGCCAGCATTTTTTGACAACCTATTGATTAGACTTTTCACAAGCTGATTGGGTATTTAAACATGGTATTTAAAGAGTCAGTGGCTGCGGGAGCCTTGTTTATGATAGTGCTTTTACTGTCAGCGTTAGCTGTGGATCCTCACTGCAGTTAGCAATGGTGAGGCATTTTTACTACCAGAAAAATCCATACCGTATACAAAGCCAGATGACTGGAGGGTGAGTAAGACTTATGAGGTCATAGAAGGAAGAAAGCAAAACTTGAGCAACTGATAGGAGAGGGAATTTTTAGTCAGCCTTTTAAAAACCATATTCTACTTGATTTCATTTTGTGTTTACACTACCTAACTCAAATGCCTGATAAACAATTGGGAGGACATTTTTCTATTTGTGAAAGATTCTGCATACTCACCTCTTCAGCTGAGAGGTGTTCCTATTCCAATCTTCTACAAAGTCCCGCAGAAAAACATGGACAAGAGAGTTTAGGAAAAAAAATCCCTAATGAGGTCTTCAGCCATTTTTTGCCATCTGCAACCATGATTTTGCCCTCTTTAGATTTACCTTATTACTTATCCATAACTCCCATGCCTCTTCATTCTCCACATGGAACATACAACCTTAATTCTCACCACAAACATCAGCTATTGAAAAAACATAACATCCCATACTTATTTACTGATATCAGCTGAATAAAACAATTAGAAATATTACAAATTGTCTAGAAACTCCCCAAAATGAGCAACACTATTAAAGACTGTTTCCACTTAAATCAGTTCTTTCCATTTACCATATTGTAACACAGCACTTAAATATAGCTCTCAATTTTTAAAAAAGTGACGTGCATCTTAACCAGCTATTCCCGCAAATACTAATTCAACAGTCTGAAAAATTGTAAATTTTACATATTAAATTATTCAGTATGGTTACAGTTAAAAGTTGCATGTTTTGTGTGCAAGTCAAGGACAGAGGCACTTACGCTATGATGTTGGCGTGTCAGTATGGAGAAGGTAAAATCATGGTTGCAAGGCTCAGTCCTGCACAGGAACAGGATCAAAGAATTGGAAGGATTTCCTGGCTTTTTTGTGTTTATATTGGTGGCTTATGAATCTGAGCAACTGTTAATGATTATTTTTAGTAAAGTTATTTGTTATATTTATATTCCTCAATCAATCTGGATTATGTTATTCATTGAATTAGATTATATTTGTGTCTACTTTCATTAGTATTGGAAATTGTGGAAGATCTGATGTTTGCAAGCAGTTATCATTTAGTCCTAGGTATGTAAAATCCCATTTAATTGGTTGATCAGTTGAATGTATTGTTTAACCGGTTAACTAGTTAAAGGGGAGGGCAAATGGGGGGCATTACTCCAGCCTGACTGGACCCTGGCTGCAGCTGGTTGGAACAGCTCCTGCCTGCGGGGCACCTGAGTCCAATGCATACAGTCAGAATACCACAGCAGCCCCTGCTGGGTGCCCAGCAGGCAGAGCCTGCTCTGTTGTCCTGGCCAGAAATGGCCCCTTCCTGTGGGGTGCCCAGGCCTGCCACAGGCAGGGGAGCAGTCCCAGTCCACAGTAGGTCACACTGTGATGCTGGAGCAGCCCCCTATTGTGGCAGGTGGGGAGCTGCTCTAGCTCCCACTGGTTAACTTTAACCCATAAGTCTAACCGATTAAGGCTTACTGGTTAACTGGTTAAACCTTCATACCTCTAATCCATACTTCATTTTTTCCTGCCGTCTTATTTTGCTTTTTCTATGTCATTGGTTTTTCTTTTGCATATGTAAATTGTGAGTTCCATTCTTTATATAATGCAGATTTGTATGAAAATCTCATTATCTATTGAAAATAGTTGTACATATTAATTCTTTCTGTATTTGTAAGAGAATTGAATTAGTCACATACTGAAGGGAATATTTTTTTTGGCCTTTACTGGTGGATGATTTCACTAAAAATGCTATGGTTTTAATAAATTTGAAAAATATTTATTTCATTGAAATACTATTTTTGACTTTGTAAGCCTGTGGGGTGTGCCAGTGGTCTTCTGAGAAAAATACTGCCAATGCACTGAATTGTAAATGCAGCTTGACTTGTATCAATTTTCACTTTATACCTACATTTTCTAACTTACACAATATAGGTTGCTGATCAACTCCTTTTTCCATTTCCTATAGGCTTTTCTAATTACCTGTTGAAGGTAGCTGTTCATCCAGCTGCCTTTCTTTGGAAACAAATTTCAGATAGTTTTACATAGCCGAAGAATTTCCAAGCTTCCTCCTTATTTAAATCTGTGAGGTCTTCAGTCCAGCTGACTTCTTCAACTAATTCCTTCAATTTCCCAAAGTCTGGCCTTTTGAAATAAATAATATTGGTTATCCCTCCATTTAATTTAGATAGTCAACTTGTGATCACTAGATCCAAGGTTATTTCCTATAATCAGCTCTGTTATGATACCCATGTCTAAAAGTGCATCCTCTCTTGTTGATTCAGTAACAGTTTGATGAAGAAACTGTTATTTATAACATCCAAGAATAACTGGGACCTATTAGTATTAATGGCATTCATTTTCCAGTTTGTAGACACAAAGGGTATGTCTACATTGCATTTCTCTTCTGAGAGAGGAATGCAAATGCAGACAAGTGAAATTGCAAATGAAGAGCGGATTTGAATTATTTCTGAGTAAGGGTTATTTCGAAGGAAGGGTTTTTTTCTTGAAATAACCCCGCAGAGACCACATTTGTTTTCTTGAAAGATGCTATTTCGGAAAAGCGGTTGTCCGCGATTATGCAAATGAAGCGTGGGAAATTCAAATCCGCACTTCATTTGCAATTTCGCTTGTCTGCATTTGCGTTCCTCTCTCGGAAGAGGAATGCAATGTAGATATACCCCAAGTTAGTCTCCCATTATGGCCGAATGCCCAAGTATTTTTCTCTCTAATATGAATATTAAAGACACCACTATCCACATCTGATTCTCATCATGGGACTCTGTAGTACTCTCCCAACACAATCGTTCCCCTAGCGATTTTGACCTAGCGGATTTTCTTCTGTCCAAACTATCGCTTTTTAAAAATTTCTTTACAGTTTATTACTTTGTTGACGTACGCCTCTACCCCATCACCTTTACTTTTATTCCCATCTCTCCTAAACAATGCATACCTTTCATTGTTTGTATTCCAGTCATAAATGTGATTTTGCATGTATCTGTAATCCCTAAAACTTCTGGTGCAGGAGGTCAAACCAGAAGTTCCAGTTCCTCCATATTGTTGCCCATATTGTTTGCATTTGTGTACAAGCATTTCAGATGCTTCCTTCAGACTACCGACAGTTTGCATTTGTATACAGCATTTCAGATGCTTCCCTCAGACTACAGACAGTTTTCTAGTTTGTAACATTCTACTATCCCTTACTAATCTTTTTTTAGCTAATTATTTTCACTCTTATGTATTGAAGCTAAGTGTGGAAATTTTACAAGTCTCTTTCCCAGTCTTCTTCCTTATCTAGTTTACGTCCCTTCTTATCTATCATGCGAACCTTGATCCCAAAAGATTAATACTTTAGGTACACAAGTGGAGCCCATCAATTGAGATGAGTTTTCTTTCAAAAATGCCTTCCAGTGGTCAGTCATACCAGAATATTCCTCCTTGAGCCATCTATCAATCTTGAATATCACATCACTCCTTCATCTGTCTTCTCTCGGGATCAGAAGTATTCCACTGGAAGTCACCCATGCTTCTATTTCTTTAAGCATCCTGCTCAGCTGAGTATAGTCATCCATGATCCATTCCATTGGGAGTATAGCAGCATTGTTTGTCTTGACATACAGCACTATCTGTAGATTTTTCCTCACTTCTTTGGAATACTCTTTAGCCTTATGTTCGCATCTCATATATTTTCTCCTGGCAGACAGAATATTCTTCCATTCTCTGGATTTATTCTGGTAACAGGTTGATTCTTCTGAATATAGAATCTGAACTCACAGACACTTGTCTCTACCTGGTGTTGATATGAATCTGTTTTATGTTCTCTCTTACTTCTCTGAACATTATCCTCATTTCTTCTTAGGTGCCGGTCCATATCTGTTTCCATCACATCATCATTTTTTGTTGGGTGCCGATCCATATCTGTTTCCATCATCTTTTCCTCCCTCTCCCCAGCAACGGTCTTTCCTTATGTCCTTTCTCACTACAGGCAGTCCCCGAGTTATGCGGATCCGACTTATGTCGGATCCACACTTACGAACGGGGCTTTCTCGCCCTGGAGCTCGCAGGCAGCGGGACCGCCGAGAGCGCAGCGGTCCCGCCACCTCGACCTCCGGGGCGAGAAAAGCTGCTCCGGGTGCCCCTGGTCTGCTGGGGACCGTCTCCAGCAGACCAGGGACAC